CTTTTTGGGTTTAGAGGGACAGGGCTCAGGCTTCAGGTTTTTGGTAAAGGAATTGGAATCATGTTGGTTCATTGGGTTTAGAGTGCAAGGGCGTAGGGTTGATGGTTTGAAAACGTTAACATAAAGTCATGCTTGCTTTTGGGTCCCTAAACCTTGTCCCGAACCCCAGGCCCTGGGACCTTAAACCCCAAAGCTGGAGCCCCTAAGCCCCATCCAGGACCCTAAGCTCTGCGACAAACCCTGGACCCTAAGCCTCTAGAATCGCTATCCAGAACCCTTGGCCTTGGGACACGAAACTCTAAAACCCTAGGCCCCTAAACCCTGTCTCGAACCCCCTATATATATATATCAACCATCCTTAAAAAAACGAATATATTACAAACTTTCACATGCAGGCTCCGGCTGGGATCCTGGATGTTCTGCGACCACATGGTTCAGATGGCAGGACTCGGATGTTTCGTGTTCTATCACTCGATCTTTGGGGTAATTGGACCTTTCGGGAACGAGGCATGTATGGCATCATAGTGTACTTTAAACTGAGCAGCATTCGCTGGCACTCGCTCACCAGGGCCTCGAAGCGCAGCCGAATCCTTGGATTTATAGACTCAATGTCAGGGGATTAGGGGTTTTGGGTTTAGGGGTTTAGGGTTTAGGGGTTTCGGGTTGAGGGTTTAGGGTTTAGGGCTCAGGACCCATTTGCAATCTGATTGTGGTAAACTGTTGCAGAAGACAAACCGCATAACAAATCCCGACTCTTAACCTGATCCTATAATGGTGAACCCTACAGAAGAATGGTCAGCTAGGCCAAGGGATTCAGCTTTTGGATTACAGGGTTCCTGGGTTGCGGGTTTGGGGATAGAAGGGAGTATACTATATTATGGGGTTGAGGCAGTGTGCATTCATATGGATCTGTATAACTATGATATATTCATGGCATTATCGTAATATATACATGTATTCTAATTGCAGACAACGCTCTCTGGCCAGCCTTCAACGACCCCCGTCATTCTCAAGTCCTCGAACTCATTGCTCTTCTGCTCAATGGCATTGTAGAGTTCCGTCAGCTTCGCATCCATCCTGAAGGATGTAGGAAATCCTAGAGAGAATTCAGGGCCTAGGATAGGGCATATTCCGACGAGGATCCGCTCCAGCGTCGTAGTGAGCTTGCCTTTCTCCTTCAAGGTCTTCTTGTGATTCTCCAGCTCGGTTTGGGTCTCGGAGATAATCGCCAACCGACGGTCCAGGCAGGTCAAAATCTTTGGAAGAGATGTTCCGGGGTTCGCCGGCGTCTCCATGTTTGGAAACCCCATCTTTTTCAGCACCTTGGCAGCCTCTTTCATGTTCTCTTCGCTGTTCATGTCGGCCTTCCGGGCTGGATTCGAGAGCTCACCTTGGTTGATCTGCCACATATTAAACGGCCTCATAATAGAATTAAAGTAGTGCACTTTATGCTGCTACGATACTTGGTGTAGGCACCGCCCCTTGCGGCTGCAGCATAACGTGGTCCACATTCATGGACATGCCTGAATCGCCGGGCCCACCCCAAACTTCCAGCTCCTGCGACTGCTTCGAGGATGCCGTGGCGCGCTCCCTGGGGCAATGGTCGAGGCACATTATAATTCCAGCTTCTGGGATTACAGGGCTCATGTGGTGCTCACAATTAGGGTTTAGGGTTTAGGGTTTAGGGTTTAGGGGTTGAAGTTGTTTTTGATGCGAGATGCTTGTATAGTGGCCTTCTGGTATAATTCCAGCTTATGGGATTACAGGGTTCAAGTCCTGCTCACAATTAGGGTTTAGGGTTTAGGGTTTAAGGGTTTATTTTGTTTTTGATGCGAGATGCTTGTAGTGGCCCTCGATCTTCTTCTCCACAAAGTACGTAGGCGTGTCCACTTTGAACGTGTGCCACCTGCAGACACATGCTGGCAACAGCCCAAGCATCCAGAGTGAATGTCCCGAGCATGAATCCCACATGTTCCTATACTTGCACACCCCCACAGACATACTTCTCTCTCCTCTCACTCTCTAATTATCCTGCCTCATATACTTCTTCGGGTCGGCCTTGCCACGCTGGACGATGCGGTTGATGTCTTCCCTGGATTGCGCACACATATAACCCTAAACCCTAAACCCCTATATATATAATATTGTATAATGTTATATTATAATATTTTTTATTATAGTATATTGTAGATATATAATGTTGAATATATGGTATATTATATACATCTTTTCTAGATACTACATTAGATTGTATTATATTATGTCATATTAATCGCAGCTTGAGCAAACAGTGCAATCATTCCTTAGCCAAGATTCGGATCCATACACCAAGGCGCCTCACTCATCTCAGTCTCGGACAAGAACTCGAACGGTATCGAAACTTCTCGTTCACTCTCGTTTGTGGTTTCCACCCGGTAGCGTCGACAGAACTGCTCCTGCATGGATTTTGGGCTTAGGGTTGGTGGTTTAGGCTTCAGGGTTTAGAGCAAGGGTTTTGTAGGGTCTTATGATAGAATATATCGGGATTACAGGGTATACGGTTTAGGGTTTGAGCCTCCATATAGGGTTTAGGGCAACCCCAGGATTTAGGGTTAACCCTAAACCTTTCGGGTTTCGGGTATACGGTTTAGGGTGTACCTGCAGGGCTCGTATAGGGTTTAGGGCAGGGTTTAGGGCAACCCTAAACCCTAAACCGGGATATAATATATCGGGTTTAGGCTTAGGGTCTGTGGTTTAGGGCTTGGGTCTCCTATGGTTTAGGCCTCAAGGCTCCTATATTATATATATATAGAATGTATATATGAAACCTAAACCCTAAACCCTAACCCATATATATATATGCACAATATATACTATATTATAAGAATCATATATATGTATATAGTATAGTTCAGGAAAAATACTTTTTCTTTCAGTCTGTCCGGGTTCCAATCGCAGGCAGCGAACATTCGCACCACTTCATCTCTTGTGTCCACATTGCTCCATTTCTCCCTGATCTCTGCAGACACCTTAAAGCCGTTCACCCCCGGGGCCATGATGCGACGGATTCGTCGGTCTATGGCGCTGTCGCTCGGACGTTCGACTTGCCGTGTCGGTGTTGGCATCAGGGATGCTGCTGCTGGAACTGGGCCGCTGGGTCCTGCAGCGGCTGTGTGGGGAGGCATGTCTGTCGGACTTGGCGTCATGGCTGCTGCTGCTGCAACTGGGCCGGTGGGTCCTGCAGGGGCTGTGTGGGGAGGCATGTCTGTCTCTGGGCCGGTGGGTCCTGCAGGGCCTGTGTGGGGAGGCATGTCTGTCGGACTTGCCATCATGGCTGCTGCTGCTGCAACTGGGCCGGTGGGTCCTGCAAGGGCTGTGTGGGGAGGCATGTTTGGAACTGGGCCGGCAGGTCCTGGGGTTGTGTCGGGATCTCGAGGCATGACTGTGGGATTTGCCACAGGTGCTGCTGCTGGAACTGGGCCGGTGGGTCCTTGGGTATCTCCAGGCATGACTGTGGGATTTGCCACAGGTGCTGCTGCTGGAACTGGGCCGGTGGGTCCTTCGGTATCTCGAGGCATGACTGCGGGATTTGCCACAGGTGCTGCTGCTGGAACTGGGCCGGTGGGTCCTTCGGTATCTCGAGGCATGACTGTGGGATTTGCCACAGGTGCTGCTGCTGGAACTGGGCCGGTGGGTCCTGGCGCATCTCGAGGCATGACTGTGGGGATTTGCCACCACAGGCGCTGCTGCTGGAACTGGGCTGGCGGGTCCTGGCGCATCTCGAGGCATGACTGTGGGATTTGCCACCACAGGTGCTGCTGCTGGAACTGGGCTGGCGGGTCCTGGCGTATCTCGAGGCATGACTGTGGGATTTGCCACCACAGGTGCTGCTGCTGCTGGAACTGGGCTGGTGGCTCCTGGGGTTGTGTGGGGTCGAGGCATGACTGTCGGATTTGCCATCATGGGTGCTGCTGCTGGAACCGGGTCGGTGGGTCCTGCAGGGGTTGTGTGGGGAGGCATGACTGTCGGATTTGGCATCATGGCTGCTGCTGCTGGAACTGTGCCGGCTGGGTCCTGTCTGATCGTGGGTCGTGGTCTTGCTTTGCTGGGCACAGCCTTCTTGGGTTCTGCTTCTGCTGCTGCATGCAGGGCTGGCCCTTTGGCACCACCTTTGACAAGGTGCGGTCTGGGTGCAATAGTCTGCGACAGATTTCTGGCTCCTGCTCTTGTTGTTGGCTTTGGGCTGGGTGTTTTGGCTTGGAGTGCTGCGACTGCCGCGCTTTCTGCTGTCTGGGCCTGGACTGCTGGCAAGGCTTTTGTTGTTGGCTTCATGCCTGTTTTTATTTTCTGCTTTGGTGTGCTCGCCTCGGTTTGCTCTGCTGAGTCTGCTGTTGCTGCTGCTGCTGCTGCTGCTGCCGGTGAACCTGGGCTCTTCTGCGAGACCTGAGCTGTTATAGTATTTTATTATAGTATAGTATATAATGTTTAATATGTAGGTATATATATATATTATATATATACCTGAATTCTAATGGATAATATAATTATAAATATATACTATATTAAATAGAATATATATATATATACATATATTATATATATATATAGAGGACCTACCGAGCATCCATCGGATTGGGTTCACATCTCGATCGAGGGTAGGTTCTGGGGGAATGATGGCTTGGTTATACAAGGTTTTAGCTGCCATGGCGATCGAAGGATCATATAGTGCATTATGCAATCTTCATGACAAAACCCAAAATCTCCAAAGCCCCATGACAATACATCAAGCAGGCAGCATCATCTCCAAAGTCGCTGTCCGACGAGGACAGCGAGATGGCACCGCCGTTCATGCCATCCGCCATGAGCTCAGTGAAGAGTTCCTGCACTGGTTTGGTGTTGAACATCTAGGGCTAGGGGTTTTAGGGTTCTGGATTTGGCCTTAAGCTTTTGACAAGGGTTGTGTGGTTGGGTTCGGGTTGTTAAGGTCGAGGGCTATTGGGGTTTTAGGGTTTTGGAGTTTTGGGCTTAGGCTTTTGGTAAGGGTTGTGGGTGTTTGCGACTAAAGCTTGGGCTTGCGGACATGGCAGGCTCCATGGTGTGTGCCATGCTGTGTACATGTAATAGTTATGACAGAACGACAGAGGGCCTGGCATTCCACCTCCATCTCGGCCTCTTGCTCATCCTTCTCAGTCTTCACGACATTAAGGGCATGGTCTGCCCTTTCCATTGCTTGCAAGAGGGTCGCTGACGACCAGGACCGTGTGCTTTGGCGCTCCGGTTGCATAAGTAACCGTGCCCCAAGAACCGTGCAAGCTGCAAGAGCCCTGAAGGTATGCAATCTAAATGTGGCGGAACGCACCCTGAAGCAGAAGACCCTCTGAACTATATATCATCGTGAAAACAGAGCTTAAATCCATCCTCACTGAAAGTAAGTTTCCAGCAGGGTGCAATCGAACCGAATTGCTCGGCGGTGCCAAGGTCAGCCGGGCACAGAGGCATGCAGCAGTGCTGGGTGCTCAGCAACACAAAGAAGTACGATTCGAAGGGCTGTATAGAGGGCTGTACAGAATCAAGGGCTCTATACTATCTATCTATCTATCTATCTATCTATCTATCTATATCTACCTATCTATATATCTATCTATCTATCTATCGATATATGGAGATATATGATATATGATCTTAGATAGATAGATATTATAGAGCTCTTGATTCTGGACAGCCCTCTTATATATATATATATGAGATCTATAGCATATAAATATATATATATAATAAGAATATGTTCACGTGCACGACACAAACAGAGAACGGCATTGCAGAGGGCTATAGCAGCAATGCAATATATGAATTTAATATATATATATATATATATTATATATATATTATAAATAATCTATTTTATATAGATGGAGCCTATAGAACTTAAGAGTTTGGGTTCCGGGAAAGCATGGATCGAACGCAGAAACCCCTAGGCAAAGAATATTTGTCAAAGTCAGGAGCTAGGCTGCATAAAATGTATATTATAATGGTTTAAGGGTTTAGGGTTTAGGTTTTTTTGGTGGGATATATCACTGTCTTTGGGATGCCAATATAGGATCCAGGTGTTACCTCCTTGCGGGGTTTCGGGATGTCTGTTCTTATGATCGAGGCAGCCGAGGTCTATATACAGATCTATACAGTTGAGGGAAAGGGGTGGGTTAAGGAGCTCTTCGGGGACTTAGAAGGGACACCGAAAACCTCTTCTAACAGGCCGTGGGGCGGCTGATTTGGAGGATCCCACATTTAATGCAAAAGTGCATTCCGGGTAATTCCGCTCTTTCACCGGCAGATTCCGCTCTCTCACCGGCAGATTCCGCTCTCTCGGGTTTTGCCCAAAACGTCATGATGAGACTGAATTGTCCCATTCCGGACCAGATGCCGGGGCACATTGGTGCTGCGAAGGCAGCATCCCAGATCATCTCTATAGTATCTGCCTAAAGTGACTAAACAGGGTTTCAGGGGTTTAGGGTTTAGTATATGGGGTCTGTTGGCAGCAGTAGAGGGGTATGAATTCCGGGATTCTGGGAATAAACATGATACTGGCGGTGCAGGCTGTGGTTGAGGATTTAGGGCTGCAGGGTTTACATTATAGAGGGGTGCGTAGCATAGTTGTTTTGAATTTATCACCAACAAAGTCCAAAAGAGCCCTCAAGCCAGGCACCTTTGCATGTGCCCGAAACAGGCTTCCTTAATTAAGTCCTGCGATGCAATCATTACAAATTGTAGCTCTGCACATCGATCATCAGCGGCACTCCTCGACCGACTTCGGAATAAGTGCTTTGTACTCTGCCGGAATGCACACCAGGGAGCTGCAGCGAAGGTAAACCATGCATTGTTCCAGCATGGATTCTGGCCACCTGCACACAGACAGACAATCCTTATAATGTGTGCATTATATTGCAGCCTGGCAGTAAAATTCACAAGCATTCACTACATGTAAGAGAGGCAGGCATGTGACCCTAGACCCTAAACCCTAACCCTGAACCCCGGAGCCCCCTAAAGCCTAGACCCCTAAACCCTATGATAATCTTTCTCTCTATCTGTGCACCTGCCCCATGGATAGGCTGCAAAAGCCCGGAGGAAGTCGCTTTCAGTTTCCTGGAGCAATGTTAGGAGATCGTGTGTTCCATGGGATAAGTAGGAAGCTGGACATGATATGTGTGTTATGATGTGCTGCTCTACACTTTCAAGCAAACAATCCTGCCAAAGCCAAACATCGGTCCCTATTCCGCCGAGACTAGCAAATCACCACGGACATGCCTGCGGTTGCGGCTGCTTCAGCGGAGGCCCTTCCCGGAAGAGGGGCATCATGTTAACCATCTCCCGCGCAAATTTCACGGGATAGCACCTTAAGGGCAGAGAAGGTTTAGAGTTCAGGGGTTTAGGGGTTCAGGGGTTTAGGGCTTAGGGTTTAGCCATATAGCACCTTTGTTGCCAGAGAGGGTTCTGAGTTTAGGGCTTTGAGGGTTCAGGTGTTCAGGGGTTTATCGGGCTTAGGGTTTAGCTATATAGGGATCACATAACCCAAGCCCCTAGGCCCCGATAACCCCAAACCCTTAAAACCCCCAAAACCCTAATAGTGTTTTGTCACACTATAAAGTACATATATATATATAGAAAGATAATCCATGTTTATTATATTATTGTATCTATATAGAAAGTCTCTCTCTCGACTCTCTATACATATTCTATATTTATACATATAGCATGCATGTCATATATTTCTAAAATACATTTCACCAAGTGACTGCGAACTCTTGAGCTTGGCAGTACCAGTGACTCGCTTGCGACCCTTTTTGTCCAGAAACCTGTAATACATCCCGGCATGGTCCCCGTGCTGACTCCTGACAAGCTTGCCTGTCTTGAACGCAGAGATGAGTGGGCTGTTGCTGTAGAGCAGGGTGCGTTTGGGCAGCGGATGCCCAAATTTTTTCAACCACAATGCCACCTTGTAAACCTCAGACTGCAAAGTTCAAACCATACAGTAGCACTGCAACATTGGATTCTAGGGTTATTGATTTTATTTCAGCCTCGGGGCAGGAATGTTCCATGGAACACAGACACGCAGAAGCCACTGGAAGCGAGGGTGCATATAAAACAGGCTGGAGGACGGCTGCTCGATGACCCAAGTGTCTCCAAGAATGTGTGCCAGAAGCACAAGCAGCACAGACCTGTATGTGCAATGAGGTTACAGGATCAGGAGTGCTAGAGTTTAGTCGATCTGTATATAACATATCTATATAGTTTGTCTATAATATAAAATATATATATATATTGTAAATGACAGGTATGGGGAGTAGGGCTTTGGGTGCAGGGATATGCATGTTGTTTGTCGAAGCATTTAGTATACAGTAATTGCAAACCCAATCACATGCTCGAATATATGTTTGCTGCCCTCACATGACTTCGCAAGCAATCTCCCAGAGGAAGCAGTGCCGACCGCCGGCTGGTGAATGCGTTCATGAACACAAAAGATGAGCATTCCAGCCCCACACAAACCAGTGCTCGATGGGTACAGAGGATCATCATCACGGCTAGCCTCAGAGGCGTGCAGGCTTGCAGGATACTTGTATACCACAATGCAATGCAGCCCACAGATCATATGAACAAGCAAGCGACAGAAACCCTGCAGATGCAGTCAAGTCCATGCAGTTGTTGCGTCCACTTTCGCAGAAAGACTCACCGAACTTCATATCATGACATAGCACATGCCACCCCCGAGCTGCAGCCAAGCGTGTAATGCGGCCCTTCCCAGCAAACAGCTCCACTAGGTCATAAGCCTTCCCCCCAAAAGGCGGTGGCTCTTCGAGCCAGCTCAGCATGAGGAGGATGTCAACGAAGGCCTGCCAGAGAGGTGTATGCGTGAGAATCGAAGTATAGACTGGATTGGTGCATTACATGAAGAACTGATCCTGCCGAAACAACTTCTTTAGAATCCAAGATTCATGGTGGAGCTGGATGTAGGATAGGTGGGAAGTGCACATGCACACCAAATACCCAAAACCCAAATACCCCTATGCCCAGCTTCATAGCGCAACATACGAAGTACACTATTTCCGAAACATTTATAATATTATGTACATATAATATATATATATATACTATATATAAGGCGTTTATAGGGTTTAGGGTTTAGGGGTTTAGGGTTCAGGGTTTAGGTATATAATAAAGAAAGAAATATATAGATATATACACAATCTAAAACTTCATCTGATGAACACATAACTGGATGCTTCAAATGGTTTGGCCTGAACCCTCCACCATTATTGCAAATATCAGAAACAGTTTGCTGCATGATGCAGTCAGCAATGGACAGCAGATTAGGCACCCCGGGCTGTACTCTTGGCTTATATAGTCCCCAATACACTAATCCACTTTGGACTAGGAAGCGATGCCCCCTATATGCGAGTGTACAACAGGAAAGCCGATTCCCAAAACACATGCTGGCCTTAGGAGCTCCCAAAGCCATCAGCTGTGAAGCTGTTCGCTGCATGGAGGCACATCGGGCTTTCCACATCTCGCCAAGGGAGTCTTTGCAAAGCCCTTCCGGTTCTGAGTCTGTCGGCTAAGGCCTTTCGGGTTGTGGGCTTGGGGTTCAGGGGCTTTGGCGCTTTGGGGCGGTTTGGGTCTGTCTCTCCAAAGACACTTACAATAAAATTCAGGAAAATTATTTAACCCTACACCCTAAACCCTAAAGCCACTTAATGTCCTGCCACACTTACCCTGCAACGCGGGCTCGCCCTTGCTGTGTGAGCATAAAAGAACATGCAATTATTATCTGGCCCATGCAGGATTTATGCTCGAACTACGCTGGACTGAAACAAAGCCGCAATATATATATAATATTATATATATCATGGATAATATAGGCTGAAACCGTGCATACATCTGCGTACGGTATGTTGTACTGTATATTATATGTTCACGTGCACGAGGCAAGCAGAAATGGCTATAGATCGATCGAGCATATAGAGCTTAAGAGTTTGGGCTCCGGGAAAGCATGGGTCGAACACCGCAACCCTTAGGCAACGAATATGTGGCAAAGTCAGGAATAAAATATATAAATATATAATGGTTTAGGGGTTTCGGGGTTTAGGGTTTATTTGTTTGGGGGGATATATGACTGTACTATATCTTTGGAGATTGCATGTTCGGGATGCCAATATACCTGCAAGGTATAGGTGTTGCCTCCTTGCGGGGTTGGTCTTGAAGAAAAGTGCTGCAGTACACATTCTTGAGGGCTTAGAGACTTTGAATATATTTATTTTTACACGGGTTCAAGGTTTCAGGTTTAGGGTTCTATAAGGGGTTCAAAATTTGGTGTGTATAGAGCTTAAGGGCAGCGTGTAGGGTTATATCAGCCATATTTAGGACCCCTGCTTTTGTCCCTGAGCTGTATGTTCTTTATACTGTAATATAGTTCCCTCAAAGCCATAGACCAGAGAGAGAAACCTTAAGTATATAGGCCTACAGGATTGCATTTACTTTGATTTGGGGTCCAACATGGGTTTATTTAGGTGTGTATGCGCGTATAACCCAAACCCTAAACCCTGACCCCAAACCCTAATCCCAAACCTCCTATAACCCCAAACCGAGAATGTACCCTGCTATATGCGGGCTCGTCCTAGCAAGGTGGAAAGCGAAACGAAAACCGAAAACCCTAATCCCTATAATGTAAAGAACCTGAAGCAAAGAAGCTCAAACGTGGAAGGCCAGCCGAAAAACGTGCCCATCTTCAAGAGCTTGGAGGCATTCTGTCCACGCCTCATGGGACCTGCACACAGGATGAGGTGTAGCCTTATATATATATACTATATTATAGGAGTATAGTATAAGAACACTAGAATATATCATATATATATATAATATACATATATTATACATATAATATATATAATATATATATATATAACAATAGTGCAATCAGTGTCTCATGCAGCACACACAACTTTTGTAGACAGCTTTCCCCTGGCCAGCATTCCCCGGCACGGTCCCATGGACATCTGGAGTGGAGGTTCACCCCCACATGCCCTCTTGAAGCACATGGAAGCCTATGCAGCATCACTGTGTGTGCACCATGTTTCTAAAGAGATGGACAAGCTAGTGTACCATGTTGGCTGCATGCATGCCTGAAGTCTGTCTTGTTCGGTTGTTTGTGTGCTGACCACAGTCGACACTGCAAAAGCTAAGCACTTCAGCTAAACCAGTGCTGCTGAAAAGCCGCTGCCACACACATGACGATCATATTCAGCATATGTGCGAAATTGGCAAATTAACATGTGTCGATCATCTGCAGAATGCACCGCTCACTGCCCGACGAAGTCACGCAAGAATGGATCCACCTGGCTTACTGCCAAATGCAGCAGCTCCTCTGGGCCCAGATTCTTGTCCGCGAAGAGAGGCTTGACTCGGGACCAGAACTCGTACTGTGCTGGGCCTTCGGCTGTATGAATATGTCGGCAAATCCTGCTGTCATACGCATCTCTGATAGCCGTCCACTCGGCCGCAGCTTGGGTTCCTTCGGGTCTCCATCTGCGAGCGAAAGGTTTTGGCTTCTCCGAGGCTTTCGTCGCTGCACTCTTCGGGGTCGGCTTCTCCAAGGCTTTCTTGGCTGCACTCTTCGGGGTCGCGTCCGGCTTCTCTTCCTTGGCTGCACTCTTCGGGGTCGCGTCCGGCTTCTCTTCCTTGGCTGCACTCTTCGGGGTCGCGTCCGGCTTCTTCGAGCCATTCTTGGCTGCACTCTTCGGGGTCGCGTCCGGCTTCTCCGACAAGCCTTTCTTGGCTGCACTCTTCGGGGTCGGCTCTGGCTTCTCCGCAGCTTTCTTCGGTGAAGCTTTGGCCTTGGGAGTCTTTCCTTTCCCCTTTCCTTTGCCCTTCGGGGTCGGCTCTGGCTTCTCCGCAGCTGTCTTCGGTGAAGCTTTGGCCTTGGGATTCTTTCCTTTCCCCTTTCCTTTGCCCTTCTTCTTAGCAGTTGCAGCCTTTGGGGTCGCATCTGCTGTTTGCTTCCTCTTCGCCTGGATCTTGTCCGTTTTCTCGGCATGCTCCACTTTCTCGGCGTGCTCCGCTTCTTCGGCGTGCTCTGCTTCCTCGGCGTGCTCCGCTTCCTCAGGGTGCTCCGCTTCCTTGGCGTGCTCCGCTTCCTTGGCGTGCTCCGCTTCCTTGGCGTGCTCCGCTTCCTTGGCGTGCTCCGCTTCTTCGGCGTGCTCCGCTTCTTCGGCGTGCTCCGCTTCTTCGGCGTGCTCCGCTTCCTCGCCCGAGTGCTCCGCTTCCTCGGCGTGCTCCACCCTGCGCTTCTTTGAAGCAGGCAAGTCGGCCTCGGCACTACCTCGACCTCGGCCACGCCCCTTGCCTCGACCGGCAGGCTTCTTAAGAACAGCACCCCGTGGACGTCCTCCTTTGCCACGCCCACGGCCTTTGTAGCTCACCTTGTTCTCGTCGTCCAGCAGAAACTGCTTTTTGCGGTCGAGTGTCTCCTGCAATAAATATTATATATATATATACATGTGCACATGCATGTCTTCAAATATGGAAAACTAATAATATATAATATATATATATATTATATATAATATAAATTATTGTATGAACATATAGTATTAATATAAAATATAGTGTGTGTATATAATATATGTATATATATATATACAAGCTTCGGGCTTGGATTTGGGATAGGCTGTCAGGTCTGGGATTTTTTGGATTGGAGAAAGCTTCGGCTTGGTGGCTTTCGTGGCAGGTTTGGGGTTGAGGATTGAGGAATGATGGTTCGGGCTCGGACTTGGGAAGGCGAAGCTTATAAATGATTATAGAATCTAGGTCATGTTCCCTTCACGATCTAAGGTCTAATCCTATACCATTATAAACCCAACTTCATGAAATATATATATATATATATCTGGGTTTGGGGTTTAGGGTTCAGGCGGTAGGGTTATATGTTAATATAAGGAATAATTTAAGTATAAATGCACACACAATGTCCCTATTGCATCATGCGCCTAGATAGTTTACTCCCCCATGATAGACCTTGAAGTTCTCCACCGAAAACTCTGCCGAGGGCTTTTGCTCGATCTCCGACAGCTGCTTTGCATCGGCGGTGGTCAAGGCATCGGCCACTTGAGTCCCATCCAACTGCAATGTGTCGGCCTGGGAAGGATCAACTTTTGGATGCACTGTCACTATTATTGTATCATTCCTATAAATACATAGTTTACTCCCCCATGATAGACCTCCTGGAAGTTCTCCACTGAAAACTCTGCCGAGGGCTTCTGCTCGATCTGGAGCTGCTTCGCATCGGCATCGACGAAGGCATCGGCCACTTGAGTCCCATCAAACTGCAACGTGTCGGCTTGGGAAGGATCAAGATCTCCTAAGTAGCCATGCACATGTATGTTTGGATCGGCCCAACATCAAAATAATTTGACTGTATGGCATGCACACATGCTGCAGCATATTGTGTGATTTCTTGCATGCAAGCAGCCTCGCCGCCCAGAATTCATCTGGACTGCTTTGGCAGCCACGATCCGAGCCGCACGCTTCTCAGCAATTTGTGCCCTGGGAAGAGTACTTAGATGGGGATTGTAAGGGCAAGGTTTGGGCCAGGGGGGAATGGGTGTGAGGTTACATAGGATCGGGTGTAAATTTTTAGGCCCTTGGGGCCTATAGGTTTCGCGGTTAAAGATTGAGGCCGGTGGGATGTTAGTGTACAAGGTTCAGCTAGGGTAGGAAGTTGAAGTTTTGGGGTTTGGGTGTCTGTAGGTCCGGGGCTTTAGGGTTCATTGGCGTAGTCACATATATTCATCAGCTTCGAAGTCTTGCTATGGGTGCCATGGCAGCAGGCCCTTCTGTTGTATAACTATACAAAAGAATGACAGGAATGCTGCATTCCGAAATGAAGAAGGCCTCGTATATATAACCTTAAACCCTAAACCCGTAAACCCTAAATCTATATAGGACTTCTCGAAACCCAACAGGGATCCCTACCCAGCTGCATCACAGAATCTTGGGGACATATCATTTAAGGGTCTACACGGGGTCCTCTTTATGTAGGGTATCGATGAACTAGCATATAGGTTAGAACTTCATAGGTGCTGAGAGGGCTGTATACTTTTTGGTTTTATTTATAGGGTAATTTGGACCCCTTCTATAGATGGGAAAGACACACAGCACGTGGCAACAAACCATGGCACTGATCCTTCGAGCTGCCGAAGGGACGAAAGTCTTTATATGGCTATGGTTTGGATCTCGCGGCGCTTTTGCTGGTGGATCATGGGAAAGAAGTCCTATGCTACGGACAACAGTCGTCTGTTGGCTTTCAAGCACTGCAACATGGAGTGGGCTCCAGAACATCCCGGAACTGCCTACGAGAATGCATGCAACACCCTTGCACTGGACCATGATGAGTTAACCCTTCCATTAATATATAAGCCCATCGCCCTGAACCCTTCAGGAACATTGAAATAAGCTTTATAAAGGGGTACAAACATTGAAATAAGCTTTATAAAGGGGTACAGAGCAAACAAGACATTCATATATATCCCAAGGAGAAAAGACATTGCCTACATGCAGTACTATATCCATTCGAAGACTAGCGCATGAATATGCAGGTTTATACATGCAGTTGACTCCGGTGTAGGGTTGGGGGTTTACGGTTTAGAGTTTAGGATTTAGGGTTTAGGGGTTAGGCTATGCCAAGATGCTTCAAAAGCTGCAATCGCGCAATCTTCGCCGACAGGTCCGGGGAGACGGAGGACCCACGTCGCTGCAAGGACTTTGCAGAGGCACTTGGGGCAGTGCTGTTCAACACAGGGGCTTGACACTCATGCACATGTGCAGCGGGCAACATCACCAGAGTATCCTCATATGCAGCTGCTGCCCTGACATCATCCATGGGCACACAAGCACTTGCAATCAGAGGAACCGAGGCTGTTGTGCTGATGTTCTCATCTGCTCTGGCACTTGCAGACACATCAAATGGAATCATGGGACAGGAAGCTTCTGAGCTGAAATCGCCACCCGGCAGAGCCATTCTTGCAGACACATCCTGCAGAACCATCGGACGGGAAGCTTCTGAGCTGATACCGCCACTTGGCACATCACTTGCAGACACATCCTGAAGAACCATTTGGCGGGAAGCTTCTGAGCTGATACCACCACTTGGCACATCACTTGCAGACATATCCTGAAGAGTTACGGAAGCTTCTGAGCTGAAACCGTCACACGGCAGATCACGTGCAGACACATCCTGAATAACCATGGAACGGGAAGCTTCTGAGCTGAAACCTGCACTCGGCAGATCACTTGCAGACACATCCTGCATGGGAATCATGGAAGGGGAAGCTTCGGAGCTGAAGCCCTCACTGGGCAGATCACTTGCAGACACATCCTTGGGAATCATGGAAGGGGAAGCTTCTGGGCTGAAACCGTCACTCGGCAGATCACTTGCAGACACATCCTTGGGAATCACGGAATCGGAAGCTTCTGAGCTGAAACCATGACTCGGCACATCACTTGCAGACACATCCTTGGGAATCACGGAATGGGAAGCTTCTGAGCTGAAACCGTGACTCGGCACATCACTTGCAGAGGAAGCTGCTGTGCTCGTGTCATCAATTGCATGAGGCGCTACAGGACAGCAAGCTGCTGAGCTTGCTAGGTCATGATTAGCACATGCAGACATTGGGATCACAGGGGAGGCCGGCGCATGTGGCACAACACTTGAGTTCGACACATCACTTGCCATCATGGGATAGGAAGCTGCTGAGCCTGCATTGTCTGAAGTGCTGGACAACAAAGCAAAGCATTCTACTCTCCCATCGAATAAGTCATCCGGCACCGTGTCCACCTGGGGGCCGGTGCAATCACGAAGCAAAGTGCCTGCTTCCATGTTGCGCAAGGGAGTTGCGATCGGCACCACACGAGATGCATCCAAAATCTCTGCACCATCAAGCTTTGCTGTACTCCCTGACACAGGCAGCTCCTCGGGCTCGAAATGCGATGGCAGCAGAGGCGAAGGTGGGCCCGGAGAGTAGGAGCGGTGCGAAGCCGGGCTTGCAGGGGCAGAGTAGTGCACCGTTGCATCATCTCTACCACAGAAGCCATATGGATCCTCGTCCACATCCAGAGTAAAGACCTGGGGCAGTTATTGCATGTATATATCTATAGAGTTTAAGGAAGTTAACACTTTGGGGTTTCTTTCTAAAGGGTTACAGGCTGTTAGGGTATATATATATATCTATAATATAGATAGGTTTAGGGTTTAGGGTTTAGGGTTATACTTTCCATGTCTCTCTCTCTCACTCTCTTTGTCTGTTAATTTTCCAGTGTTCTGTGTGGGAACCCAGAACCAAAGTCATATTGGAGGACACTTATAAGCCATGACTTAGAGTCTGCATTGATCATGCAAGCATGCATTCTCTGTATATCAGCCTCACGTCCGAGATTCGTAACCGACACTTGGCATGCAAACTATAGATAAGCCAGGGCACCGGATGCAAATCACCTGCTCCTGCTGCAGGTGCCGGCCCTGCATCTTCTCCTTCTTCAACTACAGCATGGCCCTCGGCCGGGATCACTCCATCTGCCTCATAAAGAACAGTATAGAAGTATATTAATATATTATATATATAATATATATACTATATATATCCCTATATATGTGTATACTATATATATATATAGTATACACATATATAGGGTTTCGGGTTTAGGTTGTTTTTGCAGGACCCTTATCCACTCCCTGTTTGTGGTGCTCCCCACTGGGCTTTATATATATATATAGTATATATCTAATATACATAAACCCGCAACCCCCAAACCCCTAAACCCCAAAGAGTTTAGGGTTTAGGGTTTATGGTATTGCAGCAAAGGGCCAGTGTCGGGGCATCGGAATCATCACCTCCCGGCACATCATCTCCCACATGCCCATCAGGCCCTGGTGCTCCTCCAGCTCCATCAGGCCCATCTCCAGGCCCACCATGTCCATGAGGTTCAGGTCCAGGTGGCGGCAAAGGTGCGGCAGGTCCAGCAGGCGGGGGTGTGTCGTCGTCATCGTCTTCATCATTCGCGCTCGGGTCCCAGTGCTCACTCATGAGGTCCATAAGGGGCTGGAGCAGCGAATCCTAGGCAGTCTTGGTCTGAGTTGCAAAAAGATTATATAGTGATCTAGACTATTATTTATTTTAGGGTTTAGGTTTTAAGGTTTAGGGTTTAATGGTTTAGGGTCTGTATAGTTTAGGGGTTGAGGGCTTTAGGGATTTAGAGGTTTGGGGTTTAGGGGTTTAGGGGTTTAGAGTCTAGGGTTTAGGGTTTGGGGTCATGTGGATGCCCAGCAGCTCGGAAGTTCCCCTGGCCCGTCCGAAAACGGCGGATGCACCATGATGTCAATCTTTTGCAGCCCCAATCATCCACGTACTGGTTGACTATGCTGGGCGTCGCAGTCAACATCTGGTGGATCTGCTTCACCTGTAAATAAGAGGCTTTAAAAAAAAGAGGTGTGTGCAGTCTCTCATGCAATACCCCGGCCTCTGCTCGCAACCACCTGATGGGTGGAGACTTGGGAGCAGCAGAGGTCGAGACCCAGAGTTCAAGAACGGCCATGATGGCGAAGCGGTTTGCCCTGAGGCTCGATTTGTTTGCCACACCGGTAGCAGCTGGACTGTCCCATATCAAGAGCTTGCCAGTGCTGCGCATTTGCCTGGAGCAAAGTGTAGTATATGGGCTTTACAGTACTTCAGTCTTTAGGGGTTTAGGGCTCGAGGTTTAGATAGATATATAGTTACAATAGGTGAGCATAGATCTGCTACATGTACAATTGGCTGAAAATCGAAGTCGAGAGGGAGAGAGTGGGAGCAGCCGAAGTGCTCACGCAGGATGGCATTTTCGTCCCACTTCTTCGCCAATGCAAACTTCGGCGGCCAAGATGCAGGCCACTTGCCATCATTTGCCATCGCTGCACAGCAATGCCAAACTAATTGCTTCGAAGCCCCGAAAGCTATGGTGCAAGCCTGAAGCAGAGGCCGGAAACATTGCAGTTGATCCGACAATATAGATGATTGCCAAAGATTTCAGCCCTTGCAAGATAGCGCTGCACTGCAATGGCAAACTAATTGCTTCCAAGCCCCGAAAGCTATGGTGCAAGCCTGAAGCAGAGGCCGGAAACATTGTAGTTGATCCGACATAGATCTATATATAGATGATTGCCAAAGATTTCAGCCCTTGCAAGATACCTGTGGAAGTCGAGCCAATCAAGTTAGCCGCATGACAGCTTGGATTTGTCATGTGCACTTGAAACACACATGCATAGGCAGAGAGCACCCCAGAAACTGACTGCATTTGCACATGCAACTTGGACCTCTAAAACTATAGTACCGCGCTTATTGCAAGCATCACGTTGAAAGACGGATGGATGCCTCCCTCTGGAGCCAAGGATGTGTCGCCACGGCTGGCCTCATCAAGGGATGCTGATGGAAGAGACATATATTATATAGGTTTGGGGTTTAGGGTTTTGGGTTCAAAATATAGGACATACACAGGCTTTCATGGTTTCAGAGCGATGCTTGTGCGAAGAGATTGCCAACGAGGGTCTTCACATTAGGCTAAAATGGCAATGTGCACAATTACCCTAAACCCTAAACTTAAGTAGCTTAGCTTAGAAGTTCAGGCAGCAATGCACTGCCGAAAGATCCCAGCACCTGGCCTGCAGACTCTGCTGTCGAGAAAAGAAAGCCACCTCGATCGAGGCAGCATGTTAGGAGTGAGGGACCGCAGGCTGAAGGTAAACGAGCATCAGATCATGCAACTCGCGAATGTCTTCACTTTCGAGTGGATGGGATCGCCTACTCGTATCGATGAGAGTTCTATACAGGGCTGTACAGGTAAATAAGCTAAAGTAGCTATTCTGGGGCGGCCGTTTGGGTCTCTCTCGAAACCGATTCTGTCTGGAGCACAGAAATTCTCGGATCAATGGAAACTTCGTTGCATATGAAGAGTTTCACATGTATAAATGTGTTATAAGGGCCGGATCCAACAATTTATAACAGCAACCTTGTTCATCCTTTTCTTCAGTCGAAAACTGCAGGCGACTTCTCATACTGTTGTCCCGTGCATGCATATACAGACAACACCAACCGACCTGCAGGTGGAGGAAGAAGAAAAGCAGCACGCAAGGCCTGCAGCCACAGATCCAATTGCAATGTATACAATATAGATTTCAGGCATATCGAGGCTGGAAATGATTCCGACAATGCATTTTCTGAAATCTCAAACATGCCCTCCCCGGCCTTATCCACCGACGAGGAATCGGGTGCCCTGCAGCACGGCAGCAGACCAACCTGCGTGGCAAAAAACATCGTGTATGATCATGGAATATACTTAACATATTATATATATATATTAATATTATATATATATAAACCCTAAACCCTGAACCCATATATATATACCTTCAGGTATATAACATGTAACATGAATGCATTCACCGAGCTGTCTGCATGCAGGACCCTTGTTTTGCTCTGGCATGCGACAATCCTGCATGCATGCAAACACCCCAGTCCATGTGCTGCCCAACCACACCCCAGTCTCCGCATCATCCTCTGGAGCGATGCCGATCCACCAGGCCCCACTGGGCCCCACTCATTCCAGGTTCTGAGCATAGGCTTCCGCCAGGGAGCGCTTCTTGCCTGGGCTGGAAGAGGTGAAATACCAAGTGGAGCAGTATATAGGCCACAAACTGAAAGCTTGGAACACACACACAAACACACATATTTGCTGGAAAGGCTGCAATGGGACCGGAAAACCGACTTAAAGTGGAGGCAAATTCCACCATGTCGAATGTTCTCCACCACATCACGAATCAGAGCATCCCCTGTGGCTGGCTCGCCCTGCCAAGTAATCTGGTTTCGCTTATAATATTATATAATATTATATTATATTATATTATATTATATTATATTATACTATGTTATATACATATATTATACTTGCATGCATGCATGTATATAGTATACATATGTTCTTCGTCAATGCATGAATGGCCTGGTAGATCGCCTTCGTGCAGGCATACCAGAAGGTATCCTGCATCGTCACAAGACCTGCAGAAAAAAAAGACTTGCATGCAAGGCTTTGATCCAAGGCAACATACTTTACCATATATGCTACAGGCCTTCGTCGTGGCACATGCCCAGCCCTTGCAGACTGCACCCTGTAAGGGTTGCGACAGCTGTGTAGGCCATGGCAAAGCCAAACCTGGTATATATGGCTCGCCAAATGAAAGATCTTGAAATCAAAAGCTGCTGATCACACATGCATGCACTGACAAGCCAATCGAACAGTGATTCGACACTTCACAAACCATGGCAAACACATGCACTGCAGGGGATGCGGGCGCACCGGAAGGATCCCAGAGCCACCCAGCCGGAGGCCAAATCCATCCACATGCAGTCCAGGCAAATCTCTTAATCTTACATGTTATGCAGTGGCCGAAAGCGTTCATGCTTTCAGGCTGAAAACAAAGGAATCCTTGGCGAGATATGGTAGAACATGATATAGATATCATAGCTTATATATATATATTATATATGCACATGCAGTATATATATATATTATATATATTATATATATTATATATATTATATATATTATATATATTATATATATTATATATTATATATATCATATGTATTACATATATTAAATATTATATATATTATAT